AAAATTTCTTTTGAAAATTGGTTAATAAAATTATCTTATTAATAATAAGATGGATCTTATTAACTTTTTAATAAAATGGCGATCTTATTAATAATATGTTATGTTTGAGTTATTAGAAATTTTCTGATATTTTGGTTATTAACATATTAATAACATATCAAAAATGTAAATCTATACATGGTGTTATTACATATTGTTATAGCGAAAAAGTTGCGATAAAGCCTAGTTTTGAAAATTGAATATTTATTTTCACTTCAACAAAACATTGAAATAGTAGAATACTATGTATTGTCATTGGAAACCCTACAACAGTTGCCTAAACGTTCAAAACTGGCACTTGAAATATCTGACATTTGCGTAGTGAAATAGCGGGCAACGTAGTCTTAAAACATAACCATAATATAAACAAAACGCCAAATCTCAAATTCTTTGGAATTCAAACTTACTTTTTTCTACTTGAGTCTACAATTGTAATATCAAAGATACAGCATGGAAGATTTAAAGTGTTTGGCAGATAGCAATAATATGTTACAGTTGTCGAAGGCGTTGCAAAAGATAGAAAAAGCAATCGAACAGCAGAAAAAGGATTCGGCAAAGAAAGAATCAGCAATAGAAGAGTTGAACTTTCTCAAGGAACAGTGTTTGTCAAACAATATACAATTGAGTCTTTTGTCCAGCCAAAGCTTATACGGTCTAGTTGAAAACAATGTTCTGGAACCAGCAAATGTGCTCACAATGTTTATTACAATGCTTTCAAATGCCAAGTATGTTTCAAAACAAAATATTTATTTGATAAAAAATGACATTTCATTTTTTGCTAATGATTTAGCACACCAATGAAAATGAGCATCATCGGTCAAGGAATCATCAACATACTTTTACTGGATTTGAAAGTTGCAACTTTTCAGCTGAAATCAAATCAATCGTATGTATGCCCGTTTGACATGAAAACTGCACAACATCCAGTCATAACATTGATGTACAAAAAGAATGTGGATATTTTGGATTTGGCGACTAAACTTCAAGGCATTGTTAACCATGAGAACGAACAGTGAGTTAAAACACACACTAATAGTAATGTAGTAATTACAATATTGTTTATCTTCATTACAGTATTCGATCAAACAGCATTGAATTTTTACGGCCAGTATTCTTATATGTTTTATGTAATCCGATCCAAATTGCGAGTGCAGAATCTATTTGGTCAGTTTTTCTTAAACAGCACAGACTTAATGGGACCAATACACAAAGTTTACTTCATGAGATTTTCACTTGGTGTCGAGTAAGTTGTGCTATTAAAACCGATTATACTGGCATATGTTATTCATACTTTGACTATCATTAGATTACTCCAGATAGATGTCTCAGTTTATCCACACAGCTCATGGAGACGATTGAAGTGTATCTAGAAGCAAATAACAACCAATCTGCCTTCGAATACCAGATATATTTGATCGCTTTAATACTATCTCTAATTGAATATGGTTATGATCCACGGAATGCATTTAACACGATTTTAAAAACTATCCAACAAAATGATGCACAAATTGACGAAGAAATATTGAATTACATGTTAATTACGATGTCACAAATTGTTCACAACATTGCACCATTTTATTTACGGAATGCTCTCGAGATCATCAAGGTAATAAGATTAGAATATGCAAATTGAAACACAACACTAAACAGATGTGTTTATAGACTTTGAATGAGCAGAATGGAATCGGCAATATGATAATCCGCAATATGGTCCTGGATAGCCTAATCATTCGTTTAGCCATTAATGGGAAGAGCATGTCAGCTCTTGTTGCAGCGGATATTGATCGATTGATAAAGCAGTTACGAAAACAAAATACCGAGTCAAAAAACATTTGCTCGTCAGACAGGTTTATAAAAAATATACAATATTTGCATCCATTGATTGCAATGAACTTCAATCTGGGTCAATTATCCACAGAACTGTGTTTAGATGATCGAACCAAAAAGCGTTTGAAGCATTTCATTAGTTTCGTCAAAGCCAACAACGAATTTGCGAATGAAATGCATATATTCCTGCGATCGATTCTTCTATCAATCGAAGACTTGGCCTTATCGGACATATGGACAGACATTTTGAAGCAGTTGACGGCAAGTGCTAAAGATAACTCAAGTTTGGCTGGTGGCACAATTTATTTTATACTCTATTTGCTGGCCAAAGAAACTGAAGGCCGAAAACAAATGGAACTACTACGAGGACTGACATCGTTTACGGCCGTTAAGGAAAATATGTCACTCATTTTAAATACCTATCGTTCTCTATCTTCATCATCATCAACAGAGTTGCAAATTATTTCAATTGACTTGCATACACGATTATGGTTGGCCGAAAACCGAACTTATCAATTTTTGCACAAAGTTCTGATCACTGACGATGAAAAACTTTCTGTATCTGATAGATGGGAAATGAATGTCGTCAAAGCAAATGCAATCAAAGAAATTTGTTCACAGAAGTAGGTTATAAATTATGTTCCTTCAATTGATTTTCTAAATGTCAAATGGTATTTAAATTTATTGTATTAAGATCTAACTCAAATTGTTTTCATTCTATATTTTAAGAGCATCACAGCATGGAACGGACCTAGTGGCGCCTTTATCAAAAATACTGAACTGTTCTCTTGATAACGATTTGGCCAGTTCATTATCTCTTGATGCTGTTATTTGGCTATGTAAAAGTCATACGGTTAATATTGTTTCAACGTGGAAAGTATTGCGACGCGTTTTTGAATCAGAGCCAAAACCCAGAACTACCAAAAGGTATACATTCGGCCGAAGGTTTAGATGAAAAATGTTCATATATTTACAGTCGCAAATTTTTTCCTAAATAGTTTATGCGAGTTTTTTGGAGAGGTGTCATCTCTGAAAAGTGCTTCAAATGAATATGACCTATTATTTTGTGAAGCCTTGAAACGTCTATGGAACTTCATCACCAATTCAGAAGATATTGAAATAATCCGCGCTGCGCTTCGAGCTTTGCGTAATTTCGATTTAACCGAATTAACTTTGAAACATATACCACACATTCTGTTCAACAACATCAAATTACCGAGAGAATATCAGATTCAAATTGCTGCCTCACACAATGATCCTAATAATGATCCTCTTACTATATCTGACGTTTTACCATACATTCCTGGCGAGTGCTTATCAATTGAGCTCTTTAAAAATATCAATCAACGCGCTTTAGATGACTCCGTAGAATTTGTCACTCATTTGGTTGAAATGGAGATGTCACAGTTTCGCAGTGGTGTATATTTTCAGGCTGAGGGCAGGCCTGAACCAAAAGAATTGCAGAATTTGCATGCGCGCAGTCAACTCCGAGCTATGATCAGATTTTTGTGTGAACAATCGGAACGTAAGAGTGAGCCAGCAACTGCTATACAGTGTCTGAAATGTGTTGCTAAGAAGTATTCTCGGCCAATTCCACCACTCAATTGGTTTTTCCTCATTGAATACATTAACAATGGGATGAGATTTGATGGTTCTACTGTCGATGATCAATTCAAAATGAAGAAATATGCTCTCATGATTGCTGGAAATCAAAGCGCTCATTCTGGCTCAGCGAAATCGATTGTGGAGAACTATTTGCAATCATTCGATTCAAACACCAAAAATCTCGAAGAAATTCAAATAACACTGGAAATTTCGGTCAAGAGTTTAGGCATTTCCCCTCGAATACTTGCCGCATTTCTTCGAAACACATTAACTTTTGCATATGATCTATCGGCATCAAGTCATTTTGAGGAAAAATGCCACTTGGAAATGGGCCTCGAATCAATTGTAAAGACTTTCGATGAAAAAAGCTTAGTCCCCGAAAATGTGGACATAATAATCGATGCAATTTCCAGATTTAATGATATTCTGCCGAGAGATTCGAAGGTATATTGCTATTGCTATTATTTATTTTTGACACAAGAAATATACTACAGAATTTATGGAATATAATAATTTCTTGCAGATATATGATAAATATTCGACGTACGTTTTGAAATTGCCGTGTGAAAGTTTAGACAGATTAAGCACACCGGTTGAATGGAATTCTGAAAATTTTAGGAAATCATTAACTGTTAGAGCAAAAGCAGCGTCATTTCAAAAGAAATTTCCCACTGGGTCCAACCCGTGTATGTGGATAAATCTTTTGATTGACAATGCATTTGATCTGCGTGATCCAGTTGCGTAAGTATTACCCAAATGAATATTCAAAAACAGATATATTGTTAACACTATTATTGTTCTTGGGGCACCCAGGGCCCTCAGCGAACTTTAAAGTTGAATAAAAGTACTAAATAGTGTATAAACCAACCGGAGTTAAGTCTCATTGTATAGATTGAACATTTCTCTACACGAATGACATATACACATATGCATATGTGTGAGAATGTGTAAAATACAGCCTGCCGCAAAACATGTTACGCTGTTGTTCTTGGGGGACTCCAGAGCCCCATGGCTATTTTATATTATAACTTAACTATGATAAGAGATATCGATTTGATGTCTATGACAAACTTGTAGTACTCGAGCTGCTCTACAACTTTGCCGAAGACACTAAGTCATTATCTCTTATCAGTTTCGCGGAATACGCGAGAAACCGCAGAAAACCGCGAAAAAACGCGTTTTCTTCCTTATCATTTTTCACGGAACTGATAAGAGATAACGAGATGGTGTCTAAGGCAAAGTTGTAGTTCTGGTTGAGGACTACAATTATTCTGATTCATTATTCCGTTATCTTTTATCAATTATGCGAAAAAACGCGTTTTTTCCTTATCATTTTTTCACGGAACTGATAAGAGATAACGAAATAATGAATCGAAATAATTGTAGTACTCAGCCAGAACTACAACTTTGCCTTAGACACCATCTCGTTATCTCTTATCAGTTTCGCGGAATACGCGAGAAACCGCAGAAAACCGCGAAAAACGCGTTTTCTTCCTTATCATTTTCGCGAAACTGATAAGAGATAACGACTTGGTGTCTGTGGCAAAGTTGTAGTACTTGACCTGCTCTACATTTCTGTTGAAGAGGCAAGTCTCTTACTTCTTATCGGCTTCACTAAAACGAGGTGGGAAAATTTCGCGATTTTCGCGATTTTCGCGATTTTCGCGTTTTTCGCGGAACTGATAAGAGATAAGCAATATTTGTTGCAACAAAATTATAGCAAACCTCGAGTATTACAACTTTGCTTCAGACACTAATTTGTTATCTATTATAACAGTCCAGATTTCATATGAAATACATATGGGGCCCTGGAGTCCCTCAAGAACAGTAATATGTTGCAAATATGAAGAACAGTCATAGTGTTAAATAAATTTTATTGTTTTACGTACTTACATAGTACTTATAGTATTATAATTTGAAATGAAAGACGATATATTGTTCATACGACGGAGCTTTTTTTCACAGAGATGCTGAAAGAAAAGAAGAACTATTGATGACCATTTCAGACCTATTGATGGAATGGCAAAATGAACGTTTTACTTCTGAATGGATTATGTACTTTCTGGGGAAAGTTCAGTCAAATCTCAATCAAGACTCTACTAAAGAAACCATGGTTCACAGCCTATTTTCATTAGATTTATACATGTTCTGCATAGTGATGGTCTCGGGATGCGCCACTTTCGTAAATGATGAGCTAAGCATGAACAATCGAATGCGATGGCTGAAAAAGTTTCCAGAAGCCTTATGGCTTCTAAGCAAACTATCTAGCTGGGACAACCACATGCCAAGGGTAATACAACAACAAAATTTTCAAATAGAAGTGAATATTCAATATAACGAATTATTTGTTTTCAGATTTTCGAATTTCTGTACCACCTGAAGACTCAGCAGAATCATTTGCCAAACGAATACAATTCGATTATTTGCAATACAATAATTTGTGTAAGAAATCACGAATATTTCTTACAAAAGTCAACGTGGAACAGATTCATTTCACTCAAGTGACTATAAAGGGTTATTATTCGAATTATCTTTTTGAAGTAGTTTGCAAATTTATTTTGTTACGTCATTAGTTACGAAATAAGTAATTAAAAAATAAAACAAATAAATTTTGTCAAGTTTCTTTATTCCCTATTATTCATATAACACATATGAATGTTCTACCAAAATAAATTCACAAAAATCCCTTCTTATAGTTTACTCTCCAAGCCATCGTTCTTATTATGTAGTGCGCGAAATTTGTGATTATCATTCAAAAATGTTGTAATGTATTCAATATAGTTCCTCGACGAAATTATTTCGAGTAGAATATATTTGGATGAAATAAGGCGCTTCGCATCAGATGTTGTACATCCAAGAGTCTTACGCAGGCTAATAATAATATCATCTAAATGCTTGTAGACTAAATGCCGTGTCACAAATTTATCATGTTCGCCAACACTGTCTTCAATCGGAGTCTGATGGGAAAATTGATCAGATACAGACATATGTATGATTAAAAACACACTTCTTACGTTGAATCGAATCCACTGCCAAAGTTGAGACCGAGATATTTCAGCCGTTGCTGAATCTTCAACAGCGCCTTCAAAGTAAAATACACCCATCCCAGAAAGCCAGTGATAGATGAAAAGTAAAGCAACTGAAATGTTGTGCCTGAAAAGTGTTAAGACATTACATCAAAACTAAACAAGTTTATATCTAAACTAATTTATGAGGTCACACGAAAAATGCTTTATTCACTTCAGTCCGTCGATTGTGACACCGCCCTTTGGGATTTCTAATAGGGTTCGTTCGCTTATATCGCTTATATTTGGCACCATCTTCAATTGATTATCAGAGGACCCGCAAGTTTCCGACCAAAGTTTATTCTATAGCGGAAGAATGAATATAGAGTTTTTTTTAGATATGTATTCAGAACGATTTTGCTAATACCTCTGAAGATTTTGTTTGTTCTTTCATTTAAAATCATATTATTTAAAAACTCAATCATACCATGTGAACTACAAGTCTCAAGTCATGAACCATAAAGCCATCCACTCCCATTTCAATTTCAGCTTTTTTTGCGTCATACACTTGGTTGATTATTTCATTGACTCGGTTGTTTACTGCATTCTCTTTTCCTGCTGGCAACACCTTTGCAGCCATTCCACCAGTGGCCAAAGCACCGTGTTTATGACAAGTTGCTATCAGTAGACGCATGTACGCTGATAAAAATAATTTCGAAACATTGACGTATTTGTTTCGGTCAGGGATCAAAAATTCACGACTGTTTCCAAACTTTGAAATTATGCTTGCGCTATAATCCCAAATGCCACAGTTTAAACCGATTATATGGTCACGTATTGAATACAATATCGGTTCCATTGAATAAACAGCCAGAATATTTTCAATCAAAATGATACTCTTAATGCTTCTTTCCGGAATGGATAAACGTCGTTGTGTCCATACAAATATTTCATTCCATAGCGCGCTTTCTACTGGATCTTCAATCTAATGAATGCATATATGTAGCGATCGACAATTAAGCCACTTTTTACGTAATGTATACAGAAAATTGTGCGTTAAGTTAACCTTTGATAAATAGAAGTATGGTCCAATTTTAAGGTCATGCATTCGTTTTGCATTGTGAAACATCAACAGTGCGAAATCGAATAATGGGCCAGAAACTTCCTTCCCGTTGATCATACAGTGGTGTTCGATCATATTGAAGGCCCGAGGACGTAGCCACAAGATTGGTGCTTTCTCAATATTTGATGGCCCATTTGGCAGCATTGAATGTACTGCCATAGTTACGTTGTATATGCCAGTAATCGTGTTTCTAAACGTAGGACAATGACCGTCGTCGAAGTCAACCTACACACACATATATACATATGTGTATATATGTATATTGTGGAGAATGAAAATAAATGAAAATAACTTAATGGTCATCCACATATTATTCTTCAATAGGCTCTTGGTTACCAGTCATTAGTTTCTAAACATTCAATTTTTAATGAAATCCTACCTGAATTCCTTGAACATCAGCATACAATGCATCGGTAAAATTGATTGTGTTCGCAGGTGATACATCTCCCAAATCTAATTTTCTGTTTCTAATTCTATGTGGAATCTCTGTAATTGTCCAGTCTTTTTCATCGATTTTCCGAAACTCAGGTTTCCAGTTACCGCTTGTGATGTCAATGCGTCGTCTTTCACGTGCCAAAAGTAATGAATCAACTTTGGTATCAAATTCTGTTATAAATTCACGTAAAAATTGTTTAGCACTTTTAGTGAAAATTCGGGAATATTGTTTTTCCAAGCGTTGAGGTGGTCCTTCTAATGAAATCCCTTCTGTGTGCTCCATATTGAATGTAATTTTCAGGCAGACAAATTTACGGAGTGAACCCGATCCATCAAAAGGTCGAAACGAACTAACTCAAATAAAAGTCTTTTCCCTCAGATTTCAACTCATTTGTTTTTTTTGTGTGTTATACACAGCACAAGTAAACAGTGTTTTTCACTGCAAAGAACGAATAAAGTAAGTCTGGCAATTAATCAAAATTGTCTTTGAATGATAATGCTTTTTAAATGTTTAAACAGAAGTTTGATAAGAATAAATAATGTTTAAACAAGGCTTATGCCAAGTATAAACACTATGCGTTCATTGTGTTGATACGCCGATGACACTCATGTGTTTCATGACATTTTGAATGTATGACATGCGAATACGTAGTAGTGTCATGACATTCGAAATGTTATTAAATTACTTACGTCGCATTTGTTGTGCACTTTATGAAGTTTAACACTATGCACGTATCTGAAAGATCGGATGAAAAAAAAACTACAAATAAATACACAGTTTTTTTTGTCTTTTCATTTGTTTTCAATTTATTTCGCTGTAAAACTTATGTAGAACAACAGCAAATATTATATTTGGTTCTTAAATAGATGGTTTCAAAGGATTTGGACATTAGTTTCCGTATGAGAATCATCCAAAGTCCATTCGATGGAGATTTTACAATAAGATTTCGATTAAACTATAGCCGGAGAGCGCTGTCCGGCTATAAAACTGAATTGTATGTTTACTGAAAAGTTCATATCGAAATGCTTGAAAGGGGACCTATGCTATCTTTGTGTGTCAAGACAATATTTCGTAATTGACATATTAAGAAAATTTTGAACTTCAAACCTAATATCTATGGTCGCCCTCCAAATATTGCTTCCTCTAATATTGATGTTATGGATGTCTTTTGAAATGATTGAAAATTGCGCTTAATTAACTGCCATCGTCGATCGATTGAACAGTTCTAAAGTTAATGAGCTGAGGAAAGCAGGCATTGAATTGTGCGCTGCCAAATAATTTCCAACCATATCGGACAGCGTGAGTGAGTAGTCCGTTTCCAACATATCCAGTTCACCACCATCGTTCAATCGGAAGTTTAAGTATTCGTCTTCGTTTTCAGCATACACACTTGATATGCGATAGTTACTGTTTCCAATCCGATCAACACGGTATCCAAACAACAAATAAATCACTTCGCGGAATTCCATGGAAGCCGCTCTATATATTTCCTTATAATGCTGTTGTTTGCTTTCAAGTGACTGGATTTTGTTTCGCAACGCATTGATCTAGAAAGACAAATATATTAAATGAAAAAAAGTTCTGATTGTTCTTGATCGTTTTTGATTTTCGTTAGTGATTTCATACTTCTTGGATGCTAACTGTCGTACTACCCGAAGTGGTTTCATTCAACCGTGTAGTTAAATCCTGATGTTCATCTTCCATTTTGCGAATTTTACGCTTGAGCCGTTCAATCTACAAATAGAATTATTGAGAAATTTACATGAGTGTACATTAAAACACATATAATTGTGTTGTATTTTTACCTCCGCCCGTAATTTGTCCACTTCATTTTTGTAATTGTCAGCGGATTCATCCGCTGGATTCATCGTCATGTGCACAACCTAAGACATTGAAAATGAGGTGTATAAGACAAGGATTGTTCAAGCGAGAATGCATTCCAATGCACACATTTGAAGTACTTACTTTCAGCTCTTTACCATTACAGCCAATGTTGAATGCGTCCTTAACTTTTGCATGCTCGCAAATCATCTCTAGTTCGTCTTTACGACGTTGAAGACGGTCATTTTCCATACGAAGTTTTTCCAACTCTTTATGCAGATGTTCATTCTGCTCACTGGACGTCGGAAGACCACCGTTCAATTCGCTATTGGCACTACGTGCAACCTCCAATTCTTTTTCCAATGTTGCACAAATTTCCTTGTATCCCGCCAGCGATTTTTCAACAACGTCCAATCGAGACTTCAGCTCGATATCAGCATGAGAATCAAATGACTGCGCGGAGATGGTCAGGTCTTTTTCGTAGTTTTCAAGCAAATGTTTGAAGCAATCGCGTTCTTTGGCAATAAGCGCGAGCTTCTTCTGCAAGCGTTGCAGAGCAGTTTTATAGTTTCTTAAATTGGTGGTCAATGTTTCATTTGTTTTGATGTTGAGTTCATTTTGCTTGCGAAGCTCATAGATTTGGTCATCAATTGATGCTTTTTCAAGGTTCGCAACACCAGCATCGCTTGCCAGAACCAAATGCTCTTTTTGAATTTGATCAATATACGATCGAAGTTGTAGCGGTGTTGGTAGTGTGTTGGCTGGACAAAATTCTTCAGCCATTTTCTTCCATAACTTAAGTTCCTGTTCAATGGAGCTCAATTTGGTTCCAAGATCAACATTGTTTGCGGTATTTTTTGTTTGCAGTTCCAGACGTGTCTTTAAATCATGCACTTGCTCCTCAAGCAACAGCTTATTACCGATGGTTTCTTGAAGATTTTTGTTGTCTCGTGTCAAGCGTTCACATTCACGTTCCAACTCGGTTACCTTCGCCAAGCGTGTTTGGAATACTTTCGACAAATTTTTCCATTCACCATAACTAGCCAGGTCAGCTTCCAGCTCCTTAACTCTTCTTTGCGACGATTCCAGCTGATATCGTTCGTTTTCCAACTGACTGGACAGATTATTCGACTGTTTAAGGCTTTCGTTCAATTCCTCGTTACGTGCACGTAACGTGTTGAGCTCATCTTGCATCATATTAATTTGTGTTCTTAATTGAGTGGCATCTAAGGTCAAGGTCGATACACGAGTATTCAAATCATGAATTATCTCTCGTGCATTGTTGTCCACGTCTCGATTTGTTCTGCGAAGGGTTTCGACGACTTCGTCGTACTTTTGTTTCTGTTTTGCCATTTCGTTTTTTATCTACAATGTTGTGATATTGGAAGTTTCAATGGTTCAGTAATCATTGTTCTGAAATTAAAATACCTTAACAAGAGCATCTTTGTCGGTGGCACTTTTTTTCCGCATAAATTTTATCATTTTATCGTATTCTGTGTTCTTAGTCACAGCAGTATCCAGTTGGGTTTGCAGATTTTTCAGACGCCCCTCATATAGCTGTTCAAGATTTTTGTGTAAATGTGTGCGATCTTCAATCTCTTTTTTGAGTTGCAGAACCTAAATAAAATCAATACGGAGTCAGACTATTTGCCAGTATGAACAATTCAAATGTTTGTTTCTCACTTTTGTGTTGGCTTCAATCAAGTCAGCTTTTAAAATGCGCACTTCCCACTGGTTGCTGCTATTTAGCGTGCTATTGCAACTTATGTTGCTGTAGTTAAACGAAATGTCACTTTCATCGTCAGCACGGCGTCGCTTTAACGACGGCGACAACGGAGAATCATCGCTAGACTTTCGGTTTCCTATGGAGATGGAATAAAAATCATAATTGAAGTTTGAGCAATCGAAATCTGAATTATAAAATGATGCTACTAACCGTCACCGGAGCTGCTGAGGAAGCTATAGCTCAGTCGCTTTGCATTGGTGTTGATTTTACTTGATGCCTCAAATGAATCAAACATCTTTTCGATGGAAGTCTTAACTTCTTCCATTTTGGACACCTTTTCCTAGGGTTAAAATAGAAATCAATTTTTTTATTGAGATAATCTCATAATTTGTTTCGTTTGATTGTGACAAATAATTCAACAACAGTGTAATTTACCTATGATAATTTAAGTCCCTTCAATCTCTTGAAATCTTCGTCCTATTTTCCCTCAAGTGTTGTATACAAATTTAATTTCCACAATTTTTTTCGGCCTTAAGACGCCGCCAACTACACCGATTACAAAACCTACGGCATCAAATTGCAACAAATATTACATGTGTGTTTATTTTACGCTTGTGCAGGTTTGATCTGTCAGTAACAAGAAAAAGAAGGAGCGGATTTACGAACGTCGACGTTTTAATGTAGTAGCATTTGTTGATCTAGTACGTTGATTGCATTGAATAATTCTTTGTTACATTTAGACGTTCTATAATTTAAATCAGAGATTCGGAATTCTAAAACAACGTTTTTCGTTGAAAGATTTTTCCATGCACCTAGAAATGAATGTCCGAGAATGAAAACGCAACTTCTATTCACAACACATATAAGTGAAACAAAAATAAAAAATTTATTGAAATGAAACAACACAATCGAATTTTTTGTTGTTACACTTTGAGAAAATTCGATTGTGTTGTTTCATTTCAATAAATTTTTTATTTTTGTTTCACTTATATGTGTTGTGAATAGAAGTTGCGTTTTCATTCTCGGACATTCAAATCATTATTAAATACTTCAAAATTATAATCAAACAATATTAAAATTATGACGACTTTTACAATTTCTCAATGATTTTTTTTCTTTTCTTTATAATGTTTATTTTTTATTCATCCAAAATAAAATATATTGCATTCCAAGTGATTTTGATGAAAAATTTCATCATGAAATCCCAATTAATGATCTACCAACTCTTTCGTTTTGCTCAATCTAAACTGTTATTCAGTCTCAAATGTTTTGTGCCAAATTTCTACGACAATTTGCAAAATTCGTTAGGAATAATTCCAAACGATCGATTAAATTTGAGATCAATCATTCAGCGTTCAATGACTGTTTAATCATTTTTATTAGTTCAAATTGCATTTACGAACTATCAAATCACACTCAAATAATTTCTCACTTTTATTCGTCGATTTTTTTTACCGGTACAATTTGAATAGTACTTACAATAATTTAAGAATAATTTCAAATGATTATTATCAGTGAAGTTTTTCTTCGATTGAATTGCCTCTGAAAGTAAAACAGAACTGGTTTGAGTAGAATTAAATAATTATAATTATTAATTGTGGTATTGCATAGTGTGTACTACACCTGTAGTATTACCAAGAATGAAATTTATTTATTTATTTATTTATTTATTCACCGTCAAAATTTAAGTATATTCCATCGTTCAAAGTACTTCATGTGAATTTCATCCGTTAAAAATGAGCAGCCTATTATTCGCGTTGTTGCAGTGTTTCGTTTTTTTCGTGGAACTAATAGAATACAACGTAATGGTAACTTCAGTAAAGTTGTAGAGTACTATCACTTCGTCAGAAATTTAACTACCAACGATCGCTAAATTCTTTGAGCACCTCGTCAACGTAAATTTGCTTGAAATCGTTCGTGATCGCATCTCGCTTAACCAACATGGGTTTATGAAAGGACGATCTACAGCATCAAACTTAACCGAGTTTGTGTACTATGCCCAGAGTGGCTTGAACATTGGAGCACAAGTTGATGTCCTGTACACGGACTTTACTAAAGCCTTTGATCGAGTAGATCACAGCATTTCGATTCATCCGTATGAAAACCAATACACTTTTTGTGCATGCTACTACTTCTTCTTCTTCACACTATCGTACACACAATCGTGCACAATGGAAGCGGCCATATTGAATATTTATAGTGTATTGTCATTATTTCTTCCAATATGGCGACTTACAGTATGTGTTAAGAAGGAGAAGCAGTACCATTCCTCAGTTTGCATACGGACGTTTCGATTCGAAAATTGAGGTCATTCAATCTACCTCAATATTTGCTGACATGTTTCAAGTCGCACCTGGAGATTTGAATTCGTCAAACATGGAACAAGTAATAATAATTATTATTCTGCACCATACAGTGTTTCTTCGCCAGAGGTGGTTTATTTGATATAAATATTCATTTATATTTTTCATTTTTATCAACACCGCCAAAAAACTGGCTGAATATTTGGTTTTGCAGGAAAATGACTCCAAGAGTCATGAAAAACCTGATCTTTTGATTTTTATACAATTTAGGGTATAACAGTTTGATTATACACAGTTATTGGTTCTCGACTAGGCAAAAGAGTAACCCAATTTATGACTATGCGAATGACCAAACATGAAATGTCTAATGAAAGCCGATTGTCAACGGTTCAAGATAATCTACAACGCGTTTGAGAAATGATAGACCAACTGGAGCGTTAAACATATTAGTGTCGACCTCAATGAATGCAAAAGACATCGTTCAATTTATCAAATAGGTGGTAAATTGAAGAGAAGTTTTACGTCTAATCCAAACAAGTCCCTGTTGGTAGTTTTGAAATTACAATTCTTGTCGAGACCAAAAGATATAATCAATTTAAGTTAATCTTCGTAATACATTGACATAACTCAATCAATTTCCTTTATAAACCAATAATAGGTCAAAACAATCACCAACTCATATATATTTACATTATATTACCACACGCCCCGGACGGGGTCATAACGCCCCGGGCGGACAGCATGCTTCTGTGTTTTCTATTACATTGGAGTATGCTGTCCGTCCGGGGCGTTATGACCGCTACTCGTAATATGGGGTCGCCGAATTGGCTGAAAATTGGCTTGGAGCCTTGTTTGGGTGAGAAAATGAGAAAACCAAAACCTTAGGGCTGTAATTGGCCCACATTTTTAAGTTCAACCAGTGTGAAATTTTGCAAAAAAATTAAAAAATCTAAAAAAGGGTTTGCGTCAACTGAAATCTAACTGTAAAGTTGTTGAGACATTGCCAAACTTATGGTACCGTTGGAAAGGAAATCGATGGGGCTACAGGAACTGCCTAAACTCTTGAAAAATGGGTTCAAAGTATAAAATGTGAAAAAAGTAAAAAACATGGGGTTTTTGGCATGTTTTTTTTTGCGTCAAAGGATAGCCTATATCGCGCCGCTTCACATAGAAAAATAAAATTTCGTGTATACCTATATGAATCATATGTAATTTTTCACCGTTTTTGTGGGTAAAATGGGCGAAATGGCCTCCCACGATGTTTTTGACTGAGAAAACTGCTATTTTTTCGTCAGAATACATGAAAATATGATCATTTGAACATCGGCTTACCTAGAAATTTGGTCTGAAATCGACATTTCTACATGGAGCAAGCGAATGTTCGCAATCTGCATACAAAATCACATTTAGGAAGAACAAGACATGGAAACGCTACAGACTCTGGCTATCATCAGTCGTTTGAATGGAAGTACATTTTGGCATCCCGTGAATTTGATAAACTGAACACGGAACTGTACAACACACACGTGGAGAAAATGAATACTTCACTCAAGCACCAACAAATCCAACAAATATTGCTTTTGAAATAGTCGACGACCTTAATAATTTCACATAAAACTCAAACAATTAGAAAATAATTTAACACACCTAAATGCATTTCGAACCGTTGTTTGCAAATTTCTTCAATAGCAACTATGATGACTCAACGACTCAAGGCGTTCAACAATCGCCCATCGAAGAGTAACAGCAAAGTGAGGACTTTCAGCTCGACATCAATTTTGTGCTTGAAGAGGTACAAGCCGTGAACACCAAGAAAGGTATGGGTTCCGATGGTATCCATTGATACTTAAAAACTGCGCGAGTCATTTGGCGGCTCCACTCGCGGAGATTTTCAACGAAAATAAAATAATTATTATATAAAGTGAAACATCGGCGCGAACTTTTTTCAACAAATTTCATTGAAATGTAACACGCGGTGTTTCACTTTGAAAAAATCTCTATCGATGTTACACTTTGAAAAAATAATTCTTTTGTGTTTCATTTAAATATGCTGTGAATACAAGTCTCACTTTTGCCCTCACCCATTCAAATGTCAAAAATATTTTTCCTAATTGTCCACGGGTCCTCGAACTCTCTTCCAAAAATTTTGATCCATGCTAATCTTGACTTTGCTTTGGCGATAATGAATTCAATGTGTGCGTTGAAATTCATGTTCACATCCAAAATGACCCCCAGATCCTTCATCACTTCGACACGGCCAATTTTTTCGTTGTCAATCGTGTATTCAAAATTATATTTCAGCTGTCCTCGGTGGTATGATATGAATTTAGACTTCTTGAAATTCAATTTCAGCTTATTTTTGTCGAATTCCGTTCGGAAATTCGAGTTTTGGCCATGTGTAGATTTTACCATGTAAACCAATGTAATTGCAGCCGCGACAAAGCGCGCTAATTATACGAAAAAATGCCAAAAATGGCCAAAAATATTTTTTGTCCGATTTAGATGAAATTTGGTACACTGGATTTGGAAAGCTGTAACGCGTGAGTAAGTGTAGAGTTACTCTTTCGCAAAAAAAATGAGTATGTGGAGACATACTCAAATGAGTAGGAACAAGAGTAGGAAAAAGAGTAGGTATAGAGTTACACTTTGGGAAAAAAATGAGTAGGTCGAGACATACTCAAAGTCAAAGAGTAATTACTCTGAGTATATACTCTCTTACTCAAAGAGTAACTAATGAGTAGGAGAGTAGGTCAAGACTTACTCATTTCAAAAATGATTGAGTAGGAGAATATATACTCGCTATTTCGGCCACCTGTAAATGGCTTGCTGTAGTAACTCTGAATCCTGTTGAGATTTGTTGATTTTGGCAATCTTGATGTCATCAGCTAACAGTAATATCATGTTGTCTGGGGACATTTGATCCACGATGCCGTTGATAAATAGCAGAAACAGTGTGGGTCCTAAGTGGCTCCCCTGTGGGACAACCGACGAAAGCTGTAAAATCGTCCGATTCACTTATGGGTTTGAATGGAGAAATTCTAAATTGGATACAGTCATATTTGGATGGACGACAACAAATTGTCAAATTGAATGAAGCAATGTCAAAAGCCATTAATTTTTGGTCAAAAATGACTTTTGCAATTACTTTTTTTTTCTAACTACAGTGCAGAGACTGAAATAAGAAATTTTCAGAAGATCCGAAAAAGCGATAAATTGTGTTCAGAAGATCCGAAATTCCGATTGCAATCTAAAAAACAAAACGAAACTCTGAATTATAGATTAAAATTTATTGACAATAAGGAAAAATATCGCGTCACGACTCTTAGACGACAAAACGAAACGCTTGAAAA